AATACTGTACATTATTGTAGGTCCTCTATGCCCCGCCTCTCTCAAACATGTCGTTTTCAACAAAGCCCCCTCCTTTGACAAGCGCAGTCTGCTCTGATTGGCCAGCTGACCCAGTGCATTGTGATTGGCCGAACACCACAAGCACGCGTCGGAAATTTAACGCTCCTTACCATAATCACGAGCGTCAGCTTTCTCTAAGTAAATATCAAGACAGTTAATAATGTCGTTAGTTTTACCATCAGTTCAAGCCCGAAAGCGCAACAGAGTCGCGTGACAGACACAGTGATGATGCAGTACACAAGCCGCGGTTAAGACAGCTGACGTGCTATGATTTCTGACAGACAGTTCACTCTCCTGTGATGTGACCCTGTTCCCCTCACACACACACACACACACACTCTCTCTCTCACACACACACACACACACGACGCGTTACTCTGCGCTGCGCAAAACTCCGCATTTGAACAGTCAATAGCAAATACTTAAACTAATCATTTTTTTTAGAAATAGCCTTTGTGCACAGCCAGCCTTGTACTCTTCTAGGTTCAAAAAATTGTCGTTCATAAAATGCGTTGCACAAATTCGAACATCTGGGTTGTGCCGTTCTGTTATAAATAAATCTTAACCAATGATTCCTAATTGCATCTACTTCCGGAAGGCCATGAATATTATAATATAATAAATATATAAATAATATATTTGAAGTTACAGTAAACACCTTACAAAAGTGACACATTACTCGTACTATACCATACTAACACAAAAAAGCACATTAAAACAAAATGTTTACATTTTTTATATATTTAATTAAATAATGCCTAGTTATTTGAAAATGTAATACCAAAAATATCCTTGTTTTGTCAGGGACATCCCGCAGGAGAGTCTGAAAGGCTCTCACTCTCACTGGCACCACAGCTTCTCCTTCATGAACAACCACTATCTGTTCCTGGCCTGTTTTCTGGTGGTGGTTTTGTCCATCCTCCTCTACCTGCTCCGGCTGAGACGCATACACAAGCGCTCCACACTCCTGCGCGGTGCCTCCGCTTCCGTCCAGTGGCTGGAGGAGGGCCTGGGTTCACCAGACCTCCCTGTTACCCTATAGGGCCCTGGACCCCGTCAATCAAACAGCTGGCCAATCACTGGAGGAGACGTCACGTCGGCCCCTCACTGGCCAGTTTTGCATTTTCACAGAATAATTTGCAAAGGATTCTACATGACATTTGCAGCCAAGGCCAGTCAAACGTTGGTGTAATGTAAAGATTGCAGCTCTGGGAAGGACCGCATGGCTGCCTGTGATCAGCTGTGATGTTTAGTTATTTATTAAGAACGCTGAGGCTGCCTTTTGATTTTCAATGTCACTATCAATGTGAAAGAGGGCGTGTGATTTGAGTATGTTTTATATACGTGTCCCCAATTTGCATACTCCATAGTCTAGACAAGATTCTGAGACCTCGAGACTGAACGCATGATTAAACATTTATTAAATGATTCGGTTGTGCCAAAGAGAAACAGAGTGAGATTCATTTTTAAAGATGAATATTAAATGTTTTTACCACCAAAAACTTTTCTTTTTTTTTTTTGGTCTGTTCGATACAATACAATAGAAACTCGTGTCTTGGAGCTTCTTTTGGGGGGATTTTTTTTAGACACTGGAGTTGGACTGCTCTTATATCGAGGTAGAAAGTAAAACTGTTTTGAAATCCCTTTAAAATGCAAAAACACCAGCCACGTTTAGAAAGTTTGGCAAATTTCTAAAACAATTCAAGTTCACTTTTTTTCTACCTAAAACACCTTTCCATGAATGATAAAGAACGGCACTAAATATCCATGGAGGAATGTTATGTTTTTATTTTTTCTTGTTAAATAGATGACTTTCATGGTAAATATTACAGTGTTACAGTGTCAGAATTACTGCTTTATCATCGATACTTCTTATTGCTTGTATGCGAGTGTAAGATTGTGAGCATGTGTATGTATGTGCACCTTGATTTTTATTTATTTTTTCTTCTTTAATGCCATCGCCCATCATTTCAATGACTTCACATGAGGATGAAGCTGTAAAATGTTATTTAAACACGTAGAGCTCTATGATGAGAGTCAGTGCAATATATTACCAGGTAAAAAATCACATCTTTGCGTTCCAGCTTGCAATTTCACCCAAAAATAAATTGTCATGTTCTTCCAAACCCATATGACCACTTCTGTTGATGACTAAAAAATTATTCGGACAAATATATCAGTCACTCTTTTGCACGCAATTACAATGAATTAGGATCAAGATTTAAAAAGCACCATAAAAATGCTGATGTGTGTATATTCGAAGCCAAACAATAGCATTGTGTGAAGAAACACCCAAAATTTAAAGCAGCACTATGTAACTTTTTCTGAGTTCAAAATTTTGCAAAATGTATATGAGCGAGACCATCATGAATTCATCTTCCAACCCGTGTTTTTGTCTTATTCTGAATCACGGTACACTTATAATAAGTACTTATATTTGGACTATTGTAGCCTGGTCGGGTCGTCACCGCTGCGGAGTAACACATACCTGCGTGAATCGCCAGAGACATAAACTTAGAGAAGTAGCTACGATTAGAATGTTCTTCCACGGGATGTGTGCAGTTCTGTTTATTAACCGCTAGAGCGCCAAAAGTTACATAGTGCTGCTTTAAAGGGGTGGTTCACTGTTTTTTTTCTAGGCTTGATTGTGTTTATGGGGTGCAGTCTAAAAAAAAAAAAAGCATTATTTTCCACATAATTTACCTTTATTCCACACCGCTCTGTCCCTTCTCTCAGAAACAGTCTGATCATTTCCTTCTTTTATGAAGCCCCCTCCCTCAGAAATAGGCGAAGGGTTCTGATTGGTTAGCTAGCCCAGTGTGTTGTGATTGGCTAAACCGCCTCTAGTGCGCGTCTAAACGTCTCGCTTTACGATATCGATAACGATATCTCCGTTTGCATTGAACTTTCAGCTTCGTAACTTTGCAGATATTGTTTATGCTCAAACAGCAATATTACACACTAAGGTTAAAAAAAAAAGTGAAATCGCAATGAACCACCCCTTTAAGTCATTTCAGTCTGTTTTTCATACAAAGCTATAATAGAGTATAGTGTATGAGTCGAATGGACCAGTTTAATGATTCTTCTGTGATGCTTTTTTTGTCATTTGAGAGTCCTCATCTGCTGTCGATATATTGAAAATAATCAATATATTTCCAAAATTCATAGGAAGAAAGTCTTACAGGTTTGGAACAACATGAGGATAAGAACCAACCTTATAGGGAAGGTTTATCAAAAAAAAAAAGAAAATTCTGTCCTTATTTACTCCCCTCAAGTTGTTCTAAACCTGTATGAATTTCTCTCTTCTGCTGAACACAGACGATATTTTGAAGAATATTGGTAACCAAACAGTTGTTGGTCCCGATTGACTTCCATAGTGTTTCCCCCCCATTGTGTGGAAGTCAATGGGGACCAACAACAGTTTGGTTACCAATATTCTTCAAAATATCTTCTTTCATGTTCAACAGAAGAAAGAAACTATTACAGGTTTGGAACGGTTTGAGGGGAGTAAATAAGGACACATTTTTCATTTTTGGGTGAACTATTCCTTTAATATTTTTTTTTTTACATTTTTCAAGGTAACTTTACTGTACATTACAATAATTTTGAGGCTTAGTTAGGATGTATTATGACACGGTTCCAGAGACAAATGACAAAAACATGCTTCTAAAAGCCATTTAGGATTAAAGTGGCGTTCACTGACCTGATTGACCTGAATAGGTCTGTGTATTTCTCAATGACTTGTTTTTCTCAAAGAAAACCTCTGATGTGGGGTTGTTTTTCACGTCTCTCTTTGGAGAGTCAGTCACTGCTGTATATTGTTGGTGTTTGTCATGCACAAGTACCATATTCACACAAACTGTTAAACATGTTTGCACGCAGAAACATCAAATCCTTCAATATTGCTGTTGTCAAAGATAACAAGAAATTAAGAATTAAAAAGGTGTTTTGTGTGTTTTCTTCCTAATGGTGAAAAACCCATAGACGTGTACTGAAAGAGGGACTCTTGAGTCTTGACTAAGACAAGTGTTGAGTTCTTCACGATCTAGAGCACTTTGTGTCAGTGGTTTATTTACGATGTCTACTGGACGGAGAGGTTAAACCCTTCTCGTTTTCACTTCACTGAGAGCTGTAAAGAGTGACTGACCCCAGTTTTCTCATTCTTATGTTACAAAACAAACCTGAGAAGATGTTAAATGTCCAACCATGTGGTCTTACACTTATGAAAACATTAGGTTTGTTAGCTCCTGTGATAAAAAAAAACATGTTGTAGGACCTTAAAGGGTTAGTTCACCCAAAAATGAAAATTCTGTCATTAATTACTCACCCTCGTGTTGTTCGAAACCCGTAAGACCTTCGTTCATCTTTTTTTGGAACACAATTTAAGATATGTTTGATGAAATCTGAGGGCTCTCTGACCCTCCCATAGACTGCAAGGTAACTACCACGGTCAAGGTCCAGAAAAGCACCAAGATGATCGACAAAGTAGTCCGTGTGGCATCAGTGGTTCAACTGTAAAGTTACGAAGCTACGAGAATACTTTTTTGTGCAAAGAAAACTAAAATAACGACTTTATTCCACATTTTCGTCTCTACTGCATCACTTGTGGATGCGCGTTCACAACAGTTTCATGACGAGAGCTCGCGTCATGATACTGTCGTTAACCACTTAGAGCATATTCGAATGTTATGCATATGCGTGTAACAACAGCAAATATCAAAAGTTAAAAATTGAAAAAAAATAAAACCTAAATGACTAAAAATATATATATTTGCCTTGCATGTCATTGGAATCCCAAACTACTTTTTAAAGGGCACGTTTACAGATAAATACAGTGACTTTATAATGATTTTATTCTTGCACTTGAAATATGTAAGATATGTACATGTGAAGCAAACATTTTTGAGAAGTTAACCTGGAAGTATTTATAAATGTCATTAATGCATGACATAAAAATATGTTTTGATTCACATTTAGGCTATTGCACTATCATTTAAAAGTTTGGGGCTGGTAAGATTTTTTTTAATGCGGCTGCTCTGCTGCGGTCTGACCCATTTATTTCATCCTACTGGTGAAAAAAAATATTTTCCATGATAATATTGTTCTTTATAAACATTCATTCGGAAAATAAATGGACTGACTTTATGTGTAAATGGACAATCTTTATTTAGCAAAACATGCATTAACTATTTATTTTAAACAATTAATGAATACTAAAGCCAGCTGTATGTATATGCTTTCAAATCATGTTACACTTGTACAACAAATAAATAGCTTTAATAAATATTTAGCTGTAGTATTGTTCAGGGGTCTTTATATTCTGTGTTATACAACCCATTTGTCTGGCCTGTCTTTGTGAAGGAAGGTCATGAATTGGCCTGAGGTGACAGAATTAGTTGTCAAGCAATTCGTTTTTCTGAACGGTCTAAGTATAAATTTGGCAGACAGAGACACACTGTCAGCAGCATGAATCAGCAGCCCAGTCATTTTATTAAGAGAACAAACCACTCGTCTGACACCTACCACATATTAACTAATATTTTCATAATAACTTTTAAAAAATCTGATGACCATAATATGTTAGGTGCCTTGCGGTTTATGTTTTATGTTTTTTTTTTTGTTTCGTTTTTTACAATTTACACTATCGTTCAAAAGTATGTGGTCAGTAAGATTTATTTATTTTTTGTAAAGAAATTAATACTTTTATTCTGTAGAGATTGATTAAACTGATCAAAAGTGACAGTAAAGACATTTTACACTGATACAAAAAAAGAAAACATCAAAATAAAAGCATCACAGAAAAAAACAGCAGAAAATTCAACTTTGACATTACAGGAATAAATTACACTTTAAAGCATATTAAAATATGAAACAGTTATTTGAAATTGTAATAATATATCACAATAATACTGTTTTACTGTGTTAAAAAAAATCTTTAAAAAATATTAAAAAGCATTAAAAATTTTACCCAAACCAAACCTGTCACTGGTGTGTATTATTAAATTATATTTTAGGATACATACAGTATCAGGCCTGAACAGAAAGGAGCATGGGAATATCAGAAATATGCAGTTTGAACATTTAGTCACTTCTATCCATCTAGGAAAATTCCCCAAAATTTGATCTTTAAAAATCGAAGATATTTTTAAAAATGTAGTTTCCAATTAGTAATGCCCAAACCACGATGATTAAGTGCTGCCTGTGACATAATAAATCAGAAGATCCTGGAAAATATAATTATCTATGAGAGATTTGTTTTATTTAGGCTTATTTAGTGGATGTTTGAATAGCAGTCACTAACTTACACCATTGGGTAACTTGCATACGTCGATTAACAGGGTGTTTCTTCAACCAAGAACACTTTTAGCCCTGTGGATTGAATATAAAGTCTCCTAAAACACACTTTTCATACTAACTTAATTTGTCCATTAACAATGTCCAACAGAATTCAGTCCATTTTGTTTTCTGAAAGTCCTGAATATCATTTTCACAACATCCCAAG